AGACAGAAGACAACTATTATTATTATTATTATTATTATTATTATTATTATTATTATTATACAGTGAAATAAATCCTTACTTTGTTTTAATCAGATTTCACAGACTCAGAACATTTACTATAATAATACTTTAATCATGCTGTTTTGTTGACGCTGGCTGAACTTCATCATGGTTTTAAAATTAATAACTTCAAAATGAGTCACACACACACACACACACACACACACACACACACACACACGTCTGCTGCCTGTCCTGATGTTTGTTTGAGTGGCGCCATCATGTGTTTTCATTGTGTTTGCTGCCCTCCAGTGGCCACAGTCAGGAACTACAACACTGAGTTTAACAGGGAGATTCAGTTTGTGATGATGATGATGATGATGATGATGATGATGGTGATGATGATGGTGGTGATGATGATGATGATGCAGGATTTTATTTATTTCTTACATCATGATATGAAGGAAAACATGAGACTTTTTAATTATATTTAAGTAACGTGGTAACGCCGTGGTGGAGAGTAACTGAGTACATTTACTTCTGTCGGCTCAGTTACATACATTTTAAGATACTTTTACTAGAGTTTTTCTTCTTGAACTATTTCTCATCTCAGAGACTTTTCACTCGACTGTTATTATTTATTGAACAGTTTTAGTTTATTTTTTCATGGATGAACATTTTTTCATATATTTTATAAAATATTTTGCTTTGTTACAAATTCAAATGCTGCACCTGAGGCTCATCTACAGAACATTAATGGCATCTGTTTATTTTTCATGTACGAACATTTGATGGTTCCTTTTAAATATCTTCATTTATTTTGAATATGTTTCAGGTTACGACTGATGGATGGACGAAACAAACACTGAAAACATTTTGAACATGTTCAGAGGAAGAGATGTCGAACAGGGCGCTACAGGCTGATTGTATCAGTACTGTGTTTTAGTTCTCCTGCTGTGCCCGGGAGCCACTTCTGCAAACTGACAGGAGGCCAGGGGCCAGACGCAGTGGCCCCACACAGGTCAGGGGTGTTTCTAGGAGTTGAGGACCTTGGGGGCACAGTCCAGACCTCTGCTGGGGTTCTGCTGGGTCCAGGGCAATCTCTCCTGGCACTTTCTTTTTTTATAAACAAGCTCTATTTAAATGATTTTTTGATGCATCCTGAAACTGTTTTTACAATAAAAGTACAAACAAATCACAGAGTGAATCAGTTTATTTTCACTGTGTAACACAAAATGGCTGGGGGCCACCCAACAGCCTATCAGGGGCCACATTTGGCCCGCAGGTTGTAACTTGAGTATCACTGATACAGGACCCTGTGGAACTCACCTGGTTTTGGTTCCTTGGACTCTGTGTCTTCAGTCATCGGAGAGACGGACGTGGAAAGTTGAACATTTTCTGTGAGACGGCAGTTTGTTTTTATTGGAACAGACATTAAAAAGTGTCATGAATTAATATGAGTATGAATATTTTACAAATCAACTGAATTGATTACTTGACAAAATAATCAGATTAGAAAATGTAAAAAGTAAAATCCTGCTTTTATATTAAAACATGAGTCAGAATCATCTGATGAGATCAGATATGATAAGATCAGATATGATGAGATCAGATATGAGAGCACAACAGTCAGTTTTAATACTTTAACAACATTATAGTGATATTGAAGTTTACTGGAGGAACATTGATGCAGGACTTTTACTGTAACAGTAATTTTACTGTGTGGTATTTGTGCTTTCACTAAAGTAAAAGATCTGAGTTCTTCATCGACCCATGTGTAAAAAAAATATAATAATAATTATTAGTTTGTTTGTTTTTTACACATTTTACATACAGCTCATTATACATATTTTATATTGTTAAATATTATATATTCTACTGTAAAACATTATTGTATAATGCACAGATTTTTAGTTTTCCATTTTTACAGAGTTCTTCTATTTTCTTAAAATTCTTTATGTTTTACATCAGAGCGACTGTAACGTACTGGGGATCAATAAAGTATTATTATGATATAATATTATTAATATTTTCTAATCATGTCTGTTGCTTTAATATGGCTGCCGAAATGTTTTTGTCTGCTGACGTCTGACAGGAAGACCAGACATTTTTCTTTTTACTTCTTTCTTTTTATTTTTTATTTATTTATTTTTTAATTTTATTTTATTTAACTGGTGGTTTTGGTGCTTTCACTTCAGGATCTGATTATTTCACCTCTGAGATAAATTCAGTTTTGATTAAACATTGTGTTCAAAGTCGTGATTTATTCCAAACCTCATCAACCCTCAAAGAGTTAAAGCTAGAGAGACACTGCATGAACATGTGTCACAGCATTCGTTTTTCCGAGGGGAGCTGGAACACACCGCTGTCAGATTTCCTGCTGAGGTCAGTGAACGTCTCACTGTATAGAGTTATTAATGTATAACATGTGTCAATCTGTTATCAGACACAAACACACATGATCAGAGCACACATGTTCTCTTTGTTTCTCTGTTTGAATGGGAGTTTTTCCTGCTTTCACTTTTCCTCTCCTTCCGGAAGCAGAAACACTGCTGCTGCTGCAGGAGGGACCGGAAGTGTCGCCCTCTGGTGGTGGACACCAATATGACAGGACGAGCTGAAAGGCACAAAGCTGAGTGAGTCTGAGCCCACATTACAACAGGTGAGCTCTTAAAGTAATCATATTATTTAAATCACCTTCTTTCGATCATTTCAGCTCAGACAAAGAGAAAATCAAACAATTATCAACTTAAATCAAGAAGTCAAAATAATGAAGAGGAAATACTGAAATGATAACAATATAATTAATGTATTATGAGAAAGGGGGTAACTTTTGTAAAAGTTCAAGTAATCTGATTATTTTTCCTACAAATGCAGATTTCTTTTAGCTGAACATTTTACTTTTTTAATGCGCTGGTCAGTTTTGAGATTTTGGGCTGTTTTTGCTTCCAAACACGAGCAGGGAAAAAACATATGAAATATACGTTTAGGTTTATTTTATTTTAGGTTTTGGTTCAGGACAGTTATGCAATGAGCACATAAGCTTAATTTGTATGTAAACACAGAAGTATCATGGCAGTATCTGTAAAAATGTTTTACCCTGTTACACTGTTGTATTCTATGTTTGGTCTAATGATGTATGAAATTTTACAATTCATGTCTTTAAAGAGCATTTTCTCACAGACGTCTCCTCTTCAGCAGCTCTCACAGCCTGCCTCTATTCTGAAGGTTTTTCTGCAGCTGATATCAGCAGAAGACCAAATGTTGATCGTGTCACTCAGGGTTCAATAAGAGGAGATTGTACAAAGTGTTTTCAGCCAGTACGGAAACGGAAAAAAAGGGGGTTGTATATAAACCATTTATAGCCTTATTCATAGAACATTTTATTCCTAACAACGTTGCAAAATACATATACAGGCTGGTGACACTATTTTTTGACTTACATAGTGATAACTTCCTACTTAAAAACCTTTCACTCTCATATGTCAAGAAAATTAAACAATAATTTTGATTTCTGTCCTGGAATTGTACAAAATTTCATTTGTGCATATTTAATTAGATAATGCCTCGTTTGCCCATTCAAATACAAAATTTCAGAAAATGTGTAATATTAAAAATAATGGTCTTAATGTGAGTAATTGACCAGGGAAGGTTCATGGTGATATGTATTTGAATGTTTTATTTTGGTCTGAAAATGTATGAAATGTTAAACTTCATGTACTTAATGGATGTTTTCTTAAAAATGAGTTTTTTTTCTGCCCCAGAGATCTCCTCTTCAGCAGCTCTTACAAAAAACCCTATTTTTCTGTTTTATTCCTGCCTATGTAAATATGTTTAAAAACTTGGGGGAAATTATTTTTCATGTATTTATTTATTTACTTATTTGGCTTTTGACTGTTTTTTCTGATTAATGTGGTGTTCAAAAAACCTTTGACTCCAACATGTTAAGAAATGGAGACAAAGGGTTTTTTTGCATATTTAATTAGATAATGCCTCATTTGCATATTTAAACACAACATTTCTGAAAACATCTAATATAAAGAATAATTGTCTTAATGTTAGTAATCAGCTGGGGAAGTTTCATGGTGATATCTGTTAGTTACAGTTTCTACCTGTTTCACAGTGTTTTATTTTTGGTCTGAAAATGTGTGAAATTTTACTTCAGCAGCTCAAACACCACATTTTCCAGTTTTATTCCTGACTATAAGTGTGTATATGTATACACGCTTTGAAAGTGCTCGGTCCAGCACTGTGCTTGATAAATGAGCTCTCATACATATTCCTAGTTTGTGCATGTCACAGGTTCAGGAGGGATTTATATGGGTTTTTTACTTTTTTATTTTAATTCTGAAAGTAAGCTGCATCTTAGAAATAATCATAATCAGAAATACTTCATTGATCCTCGAGAGGAAATTGTGATTCATTACAGTCGCTCAGGAACAGAGAATTATAGGACGTAAGAATAAGAGTATGAAATAGACTAATGTAAATATAAAGCAATGAAATGTAAGTGTGGAATTTTAACTACAATATATACATCAATTGTTATTACTGCTATTCAGATTCAGACAACTTTATTGATCCCACCAGGGGGCAATTTGTTGGAACAGTTTGCATTTCACACATAACAACATACAGTAACATGTAGACACATAAATAGATGAGTAAAAATAAATAAGTAAATAAAACCAAATCTAAAAAATGTGCCAAGCAACTCAGTGAAATAAAAGAATCTATTAAAAAAAATGATAAAAAGTGTGTTTTTATTGTTTATTTATTTGTATTGATTGTTGTTTATATTATTATTATTCTGTGTTAAATTCATTATTATTGTGATGAATGTTATTTTTATTTTATTTTTACAAGTATGGTTTTTATTTCATTATTTTTTACAACTTTTATTTTTAGATTTATTTATTAATTTTAATTTTAATTCTAATTAACTGTGTTGTGTTGAGGTGAACGGGGAGCCCCTGCAGTGAGGTTCCCTCTCCAGCAGGGGCGCTGTTGTCACTTTCCATACCCATAAGCGGGGGAGTGAGAGGTGCATGAAATGGAGAAAAATGGCGGATCATGTGCAGGTAAGCAGAGGTTTCATGTTTTTGTAACCGACAGTTTCCCCACGGGCGTGAAAATGAGTGCGGGACGCGGATTCGGGTGCCTGTGTTACCGGCACGGAGGCGGTGCTCGGCCGGCGGGTGCAGGCGGCGGCCGTGTTCAGGCTGTCGGCGGTAAAAGAAAGGATGTGGCCGCCTGTGTTGACTTGTGGCCTGCTGTCATTGCTCGGGCTGCTGCTGGCTGCACTGTTAGCTCCGTGTTAGCCGGGGGGAGGCTACCGGAGGAAAACAAAAGCCGGGGACGCTCCGGGTCTCAGCCCGGGTGGACCCCGGTGTCGGTGCAGGCTGAAGGCGCAGCTCCGGCGGCATAACGGCGGGTTTTATCGGTGTGTCTGACTGACGTAAACAATAAAGGAGACACGGGCTGGCGGCGGAGCGGTAGCTGTCAGGCTAACACCAATTCACCAGTTTGGCGCCAGTGAGAATCACAGTGTGGACATTATTAATATTATGAACCCTCACATGAACTCATTAATCCCCCCTCGGTTTATTTATTTATTTATTTGTTGTCTTGTTATGCTATCCGACCCTGTTAGCACGGCTATGCTAACGTTAGCTTCAGTTAACTTCTCCCGCCCGAGCCCGTTTGAAAACATGGTTCGGGTTTGTTTAACTGTTTGTCTGTTAAACCCGGCTCCGTGCCCCGGGGCTGCTGCCACCAGCTCGGCTACTGGGAACCCTACAGTGGGGGCACTGGGGTATTTCCACCTGTGTTGTTAATGTGCGTAACTGAGCCGGGCTGTTGTGTGTGAAGCTCGCTGCTGCTCCGGGCTCCGGACTGGACACATGTTTGGGTGCTGGACTGGGAGGACAGACTGGTTCCACACTAGTCCAGTTCTCCCAGTTCCTCCAATGGCTGTGTCAGAGCAGAGTCCATGCTCCGTGTTATTGTTGTAGCCTGTGCTGTGCGGCAGCTCTGCGTGCAGCTAGCAGCTAGCAGGGGATTATTAATAATACGGCTGTTAGCTGTATTAAAGTGCTGTAGCATGAGAGCAGAGACAGAGGCTAACCTGAACACACTGAGCTGGAGCAGCAGTGTTAGCCTCGGTGCTACAGCCTCACAGCTACAGCATGGAGCAGCAGTGTTAGCCTCGGTGCTACAGCCTCACAGCTGCAGCGTGGTGGTGGTGGAGCAGCATCACTGACATTGACTCTGTGTTTCTCTGGCTGGGATCCAAACAAGCTTTATGATAATAGTTTGTCACATGAGCTGCGAAGAAAAGTTCGTGATCTGATTGTTAAAGATATTCTAGAAGAATAAGCTCATCATTTTCTTTCTTTTTTAAAATGCAGAATTCAGATCCAGACTACTTTATTAACCCTCAGCACACATATTTAAACACACAGTAACAGTTAGACACATAAATACATAACTAATAAATAAAAATAACAAATATGCAAAGGAGTTCAGCAGATCAGATTAAAGACTTCTATATACACACTGATTATCAATAAAATAGATTAAAAAAACAATAATATTTACAGAGAATTTAATAGACAAATAGCAGAGGGAATAAAATATTTTAAATACCAGTTTGTTTTGCAAGCAGTCATTAATCAGTGTTGATCAACAGAGTTAGTCACCAAATAATTTGATAATCAATGCATCATGTCAGCCTCTCAGATGTGACCATGTGCTGCCTCGCTTTTTTTTTTGGTCAAAATTATTATTATTTTTTTAAATATAGCTGTGGGTTTTAGAGACATTTAAAGATATATTATATGATAAATACTATGTTATATTTTATTATGCTCATATATTAATACAGAAAATACTAAGTATTATCAGTGGCTGTTATAACATCTTGTAATCTGCAAGAAAAAAAGGTTTGAATATATTGTTTTATTTTACTTTATTTTTTTATATAATTAAAGTAATTGGGATGTAGGAAACATATCACCAATAAGTTATATATTAATGTTAATAACATGTCCCTTGTATCGTGAAACACATATTTAATTACAGTAACTAACAGTAGATTTACATTATAAAATTAAATCCACTTGTAAGAAATATAATCTTATTATTTTTACCAATAAAATAGATTTAAAAAAACGATAAAATAATATTTACAGAGAATTTAAAAGCAGAGGGAATAAAAGATTATAAATACCGGTTTGTTTTACAAGCATCATTAATCAATATGTCGAACAACAGAGTCAATCACCACATAATCTAAGCTGCTCAGATGTGACCATTTGCTGCTTTTTTTTATCGTCAGCATTATGTTTTTAGAAATATACCCGTGGGTTTGAGACATTTGAAGATATTAGATATAATATGATATTATATTTTATTATGTTGCTATTTTAATACAGAAAATATTAAGTATCATTATTAGTGGCTGTTAAAACCTCCTGTAATCTGCAAGAAAATAAAGTTTGAATGTTTTGTTTGATTTTTAAATGTAGTTTAAGTATTGGGATGTAAATTACATCACCATAAACAAAGTTGTATATTAATGTTTTATAACATGTCCCTTGCATTGTCAAACATATATTTAATTACAATAACTTACAGTAGATTTACAGCATAAAATTAAATTCACTTGTAAGAAAAAAAAGTTTCTTCCCTATTTATCTGTATTTATTTATTTATTATTCTTTGTGCTGCTGCTAGACATTTAAAGACTCTGGGAAATCATGATGGGAATTTTTCTGACATTTAGACGATTATAGTGTTTTGTTCTTTTTTTTAAATACTCAATTTAAACACAAACAGGCCTGAATAATGAATAATGAAATAAAGTGTGGGCAGAGGCAAAAATCCAGAGGGTTTATTTAAAATCTCGACTTAAAACATTTTTTCCCATAGTTTAAATGTTTGATTGCCACAATAAAAAACAGCAATAATAGTTTCAATTTAAGAACAAAAAAATGTGAGTAATTGAATAAATACATGATTAATTGATAATTGGAGAAAATAATCAGCAGATAATTATTACAATAATAATACAATAATACATTGTTATTATTGGATAGCTGTTGTTGCATCGCACCTTGTACCATATCTGCACTGTACTTTATCAAACCATAATATGTAAATACACTGTTTTACTACATGATATACTGTATTGTATTTCATTATATTATATTAGTACAGAAATATTTAGTGGCCGTTATAATCTCGTACAGTAACAGAAATTTACGTCATATAATTAAGAGAATTTTCTCTTATTTTTTTATCTCATCTTATCCTGTTATTATTATCAATAAAATAGATTTAAAAAAAAACCAAAACATATATTTAGAGAATTTTGAACACAAGTTAGCGTAAAGACGCCCTGACAGTGACCGATAAAATTCACCTGTAGGAACAAGTTGTCCAGCAGAAGTTAAAACACTTGTGGCTTCCTGGAGGAGTTGTTGATGCAAAAATCAGTCAGGTCCCGTTGTGTCACTGCTGTGATCTCAGAGCAGATTTTAACGATGCTGTTTGGACCATTTGTGTCGTTCAATGTGAAACCAGCAGATAAATGAAAACTCAGGAGCGTCTCAATAAACGACTGATAGAAACCACAGAGGATAACGGGACTGACGGAGAAGCAATTTAGGTTGGTTAGTTTGAGAACGTGCATCAAATTATGAAAAATGACATTAATTGCAGTCATGTTTAGGACTGTTTTTGTGATAGATTAGTATACAGATTATTTTCTCTCTCAGTCAATTATTTGTTCAATAAAATGTCAGAAAATTGTGAAAAATAATAATTTATAAGTGTCATAACTTCCCAGAGTCATCCTCAGAGGTGTTTTATTTATCAGATCAAAAGTCAGAAACTTAAGTATACCCAGTTTACAGTGCTTTAAAACAGAAAATCAACAAATTGAATTCATTCAGAGTTCATTGTCTCTTCCTCTCAGAAACAAACCAACCAGATGATTTACACCAGGAAAAACTCTGAATAAAGAAGTCTCAGGTTATAAATCAGTTTTTCTGATGCTGTTTGGCTCGTCACAGACGGGCTGCTAACAAGAAGATTCTAGAATGATAAGGTCATAATTTTCATCCTCTTTTTAAAAAAATAAATTAAACTCAATGTGCGTCAAACAATGATGTCGTTCATAACATTTGGTAGTCTTGTATTTATGAGTCTAATGAAAGACAAGGACAAAAATTGGACTTCAAGAATTTTACTTTTTAGGGAAAACAGCTGCAAAACGTGTCGTCATTGCATCAAATAAGTTACAGCCATGCACCATAAAAACCAACTTGTCCATTCGTTGGCCCCTGAATGAATAGACTGTAGCTTTGCCCATGTTCAGCCATTTTGGAGAATTATTTCCTATTTCATTGGCTCTTTGGGATTTTTGGGCAAGTGTCTATACAGTTAGAAAAAACTAAATAAAACGAAGCGTTTGAATACTGATTTAGACATCGATTACCATGGCAACGGGAGTATGAATGTCCTGTATTGGTGCAGTTCAGGCTCACAGTGGTGTTGTGATGTCGGAGAATCATCATGATGATTCAGTGAATCAGCTGAGCTCACTTTTATGACTATATAACGGCATATCAGGTGGAGAAGCTCTCAGCGTACTGAAGGTTACGGCCGGTGACCAATGTGACCACGGGGTCAAAGGTTACACTTGTGTCACTGACTTTCAAAATAAAAGGAACTGCTGCTCGATAACAGTGATTTACATGTCAGAGTATTACACATGTACTGCACATCTTTTTACTTTGTTTTATTCTGGAAAATAAAGAATATATTTTTGTTCTCACCTGCTGCCCGCCTGCGTGTAGCTTGTTTTTACTCGTGCCTGTATCCGTGAATTTATATATATATATATATATGTACGTATCCCTCCCCATTACACAGCTTTTTGCTGGTTACCCGTCTGGTACGCGACCCGGTGCAGGACTCTGGTGTGTGTCCTGTTGTATCATTCTGTGTCCGTGCTCTAAATTCAGATGTTTTTGTTGGTCCATGAAAGCAGCACACATCGAACTTGTCATGAGTTTTTTTTTTTCCCCCTGCTCATGGAGTTTTGAGTCACAGGGTGGATAACTGATCTGTTGATCCAATCAGAGCTGATCGGATCAGATCAATGGATGAGAGGAGCAGCTGCTGCAGAAGCGAGTGAAAGCAAATTTTTAGACCCAGCGCAATGAACGATAAAGTTTCACTGTCGCTGCAGCTGGTGTTGTGCTGCTCCGTCTGTGCCCAGCAGGACTGCTATGGTATGAGATGTTCATGAGGTCTCAAACGATCCTTAAAGAGGCGGAAACAGACATTTTATTACTGTAACTGAAACTTGAACATTTTGTTAATAAGTCTCACTTTTGAAAATAACTCAAATAAAGGTGAGAATCAGCGTTGTTGTTGTCCTTATGGTCGTGGGCAGCCACAGAGAGATGTGTCTCAAGATAAACAAAGAGAGCGAAGCAGTACGCTGCGCGCAGCTCTACACTAACAAGAGATTTTATCCATTTTCAGTCGTAAAACAAAATGAAAACGTTATGTTTGCGTGAGGCTGGGCAACATTTGACGTCTAAATCGAGCACTCCTCCCTCCCTCCCTCCCTTCATAACAGTGGTGAGGAACATCAGGAGCAAATGTCAGGAGTTGAAAGTTTCATTAAAACAGCGTCACTGATCTGTTTTAACTGAATATTCTGTGGTGTCGCTAAAAGCACGAACACGTTCACTGCTCAGCCTGTTTGTCACCTGTACCGACAGCATCATCTCCGCTTTACCTGTTCAGTTAAAGTTCAGATAACAGACTCTCGACTGTCCTGCTTTCATTACAGACATGTGAACGCACCACAGACACTCGCCTCCTTCATGGACTCACTGTGGTGCTGCATGATGAATTTAGAGGAAACACTGGAATAGATTTTTGGTGTTAAAAGAGATTTTTTGGGGCCTGGCAGAGTTCCCTGTACATTTATAGGAGAAACACTGCACATCGGCTGGTCTGCTTTATTTGTAACAGTGTTAACTGTTAAAACATCTCATAGCTCCTTTACACCGCCTGTTCAAGGTGGGAATATTGTGCCATTGTGCCACCTCGTCGTTCTGTATAAGGTACGATCGCAGAACGGGGGCACGGAGTTGTCGCACCTTTAATCAGCCACAGGAGGGAGTAATGGCGCCGGAACAGTGTCTGAATAAACAGGACAGTCGGCAGGACGGGATCATGGGCGCCATGGGTGTAACAGTTTGAAGTCTTGTTATGCATGAGACCCTCCGCAGGAGATTTAAAAGTTAACAGTCAGCGGCTAACCTAAAGGAGAAGAACAGCAGCCGAAAATGTCCACAGTTTATTAAACACACATTAAACACACATTAAACATGGCTTCATAGAGACAGTTTCAAACACTAATCAGCTTCACTATAACTCGCAGCATTCACAAACACTTGTCTTTATCTGGACACGTTTTCCCCACAAATACAACATGCTAATGTTATTAGCACAAGCCTATGGCATTTTACATTGTATAAATTAGCCTAGCAGCTAGCAGAGATTTCCTCTGCTCATATGAAGCCAGGGACAACAGCAATATTTAACAAAGGTAACGTTACAAAATTCAGCTCCACGCTACGGCGTCGATTCTACCCAGAAGTATAAATCCCACCTTAATGCCATTGTTGTTGTTTATAAAGCGTTGCTGACGTGTATGTTACATGTCACTCCTCTGTTGATTCCACAAAGCCACGATGCAGTGTGTAGTCACACACTGATGCTGCTGTTGTTTGGTTCTGTGTAAAGATACAAAGGAGGTGTAAAGACAGGACTTTGTAGCGGCTCTATGGCGCCATCTGTGTGTGTGAAAAGGCCTGTGTTTGTATTGGAGATTAGTTTAATGGGACCTTACAATAAAAACACTGATTTGCAGACTTGATCTTAACTTCTGCTCAAATCAGGGCAGCAGCTTGTGATTATTATTGATCAGGAGGTCGTTGGGAGGCGGAGCAGTGATCTCTGTCTGCGTGGACGTCAGCTGAGTAATAACTGCTGAATCCACACAAACCTGCACGTATCATAAAACGTAAGCAGTGATTAAAAACTAGAAAGCAGCGACACATCTGTGAGCTGTCAGGCTGCAAATACAACCAGAAGTTGGTCTGATTTAAAATTAGAAACTAAAAACCATCTGTCGGCTGGCAGGCGGCATCAGGGGAGCAGGAAGTCAGGACGATAACAGTGTCCGAGCAGCTGAGATGGATGTGTGCGGCGCTCGACAACATCAGTCCTGTTTTCTCAGTTTAGAGCCTCGAACCTGGAGCGAGACAAAAACACAGCACTTATCACAACACTGGATGTTTGTTCAACACGACAGTTTGCTGCTTTTCTTCATGTCATGAACATCTGTACTGTGATGTGCACACAACACTACAGATGTTGTGAGCCGGTCCAAAGGATCTGTCTCAGAGCGGCTCATTTAAAGAGTCTGATACCAGCTGAAATAAAACTGATCAGACGCCGATCATGTCTTTACTGTGGTGTTTCAGCCTCAGCTGGTGTTGCAGTGCTGCTCTCCTGTCTGACAGCAGAGCTTTACAGATTCATTTATTTCAATGTGACATGTAGAAACACACAGGGTGGCTCTGCTGCTTCTCGTTGCCTCTGGTACATTGACAAATTCATTTTCGTTTTTTACAGTTTTATTTAGTTTACCAGTCGGAGGGCTGCGGAGCCGCTCACAGACAGGAGGTAGACCAGCTGGACAAGACTGGAGTTGAGCAGCGTGGTGCCTTTGAGGCAAAGCGCTGCCTCAATGTTCAGCGCAGAAGTTTGCTGTGGACATGATGCGGCTGGTGTGTTGCATGCGCGTCCTGGCGCTGAGTTTACTAGCCTGCTGCTCATGTAGCGTCTCGTGGCGTCAGTGAAAATAAAGCAAAGTTCTGAAATTGGAAAAAACTAAGAGAATGTTTTGGAAAAGTTTTAAATTTACATTATTTTGACTGTTGTTTGAATTATGTTCATGAAATATCTAAAACATGTCTGACGTCACGATTAGAGCTTCAGTTGTCTATCTCCCCAAAAGAGGCGTGGCCTTGGCATTTTGCAAAGTTTCCGTATATGCTGGTCTGTTGGCAGCTAACAGTTAGCTGGTGGCAGGAATGAGTAACTTGCAAGTAAAGAGAAAAAGCGCTAATAGTTTGTTTACCCTCAAATATCTGTGAAGTGCGTGTTTATAGTCCCGCCCATTTTAAACTGCTTAAAAAACGTCATGGAAATGGGGCGAAATCTTATGGAAAAGTTTAAAAAATTCATCAGTAAAACTGAGTGGGAGCGCTGTCTTCAAAATGTCTGACTTGCTGTTGATGACGACACGTTCCCTTTAATTATTAACGGCGACTCGAGTATGGAAACTCCTCAGAGATGCCCGTTCCTGCTGTGAAGACATTTTAACCCCTCTGTGTCAGACCTCCTGACTGCACTGCTGCGCTCGTGTTTATAACCTGCTGTGACATCATCAGTGTGAATCATTACACACTTGTGAGTTTGGCTCGGTGTGTTGCAGCAGACGGAGCGTTTGGTTCTTATCTGAGACCAGCAGAGTTTCACATGATGTAACCCTCTGTCATACCTGCTCACTGCTGCACCCTGGACTCCTCACAGTGTAACGGAGGCAGTGAACACACCACCACACAACCAGAGGACACCCCTCCACCTCTAATCTCCCTCTTTACCCCTCCATTTTGAATCTATCAGTGACGCTGCATGACTCAGCACTTTTCCTGCTGCCACATGAAGCTCTGTATCAGTAAATGTTTGGGGAGTAAACATCTTGAGATCTGAAATGTGCACATTTATATCTGTTTTCATTTTGGCCCAAACATGCACGCTCTTGTGTTCTTGTGTGATTGTTTCTTCTTCTGCAGTCATCAGTGTCGCTGTGTCGGCCTGTGAGAAGAGCCTGTCAGAGACTGATAAGCTCTTCCACCTTGTGTCTCTGTGTGTTTAATCTAGGGCCTTGCCCAGCTGGAGATCCTGTGTAAGCAGCTGTATGAGACCACCGACACCGCCGTCCGACACCAGGCAGAGAAAGCTCTGGTGGAGTTCACCAACAGTCCCGACTGCCTCAGCAAATGTCAGCTGCTGCTGGAGAGAGGCAGCGTGAGTAGACCTGCACCGTCATAGTCAGGGACCTGGACCAAGCACCAACACCACCCTACATACATACTCTGTAAACCAGGGCGGCTGCGGGTCATTAACAAGACTTAAAACGTCTTAAATACACATTTACAGCATGTCGTCAAGTCATTAAACCTTTGGTAAAGTAAAAACTCCATATATGTGACTGTGCGATATAGAGCTGAAGCGATTCCTCGAGTAACTTGAATAATTTGATCACTAAAAAGCCTCGAGGCTTCGTTACATCCAGTAACGTCAACACAGCGCACTGAGTTTCACGTGGATGTTTATTTCTGTTACACAACCCGCTTATGTTACCTCCGCTGTAGAGCTACAGATTAATCGTCAATCATCTGTCTGACATTTTATAAAAAGACATCAGGCTACGTGTGATGAATTGGTGGCACGACACCTTTTTAAATAACTTTATCAGTCAGTCAGTGGGCGAACAGATTCTCTGTAACCATGGCAACGATGACACTGAGTGACAGACCTGTCGTTATGTGACGTTCTCCTCTTGATTTAATATTTAGAGTGTTGTGTGCACAGAAACACGAGACAAACTGCGTCCCGTATTGACTCAGTGAGGGACAGGACATTTTATTTTTCAATATGGGACGATCCCGTGTTATACGGGACGGGTGGCAGCCCTGTCGTCCACATGCCTCGGTGTGGCGCTGGCGTCAGTCACATGACTTATCCTCAGTTTTATTGTCCTGACTTTTATCCAGACCTCTGCAGAAAAACAGTCGGCTGCATTTCAGAGTGTTTCCAGAGAAAAAGAGTTTGTAACTTTTATGGACGCTGCTGTGCTACTCCGTCAGTTAGTTAACGTCACTACTGAAAAGCTGTTTGACTCAAAGTAGTGTTAAATTTGTAACGTCGCTTCTTGTAGTGAACATCTGCCCAACGCTGATTATTTTTGACAGCCTGAGAAATAGGCTTAGCTTGTGAAATCGGTCATTTGCGTGACTTGCTGACAGCCTATAATATCACAGTACCCTGACATATTGTGATATTATTTTAGGGTCATATCACCCACCTCTTGAATCAACATCTGGGAACATTTAAGAGAGTTTGACTTTTCAGAGGTGAAGGCGACGCAGCACCTTTAATTGAATGAGGCCGTGCCGACTGTGGTGAGGGCCCACCTCGATATCCCAAATAGACCTCAGATATTCCAGCGATGGCGCTTGTAAATTTGAAATAAATAAATAAAAGATATTGCACCCCATTTGGAGGGCTGAAAGAAAACCCATGGGTTTAACTCCAGGCAAGTTGGGAAAAGAAGGTGTTTTAGTTTTAATATAACTATGAACTTAAAAGAATCTGAAGAAATCTTTATGTTTCTCTGTTTATAAATCTTTTGGATCAGTGCGTCGGATTATTTAAATTCAACAATTATTATAGTTTATCAACACACATAACTTTTTAGCTCAGGAAGTACAGATTTTAGGGTGATGAAGCGTTTGAAGATACTTCAGGAAATTACATCACAACAAACAAAAATTCCAAGCAGGCACAGGAGGAGCATTTCTACTACAGAGTTCAAAGGGTTAACTCGGACCTGCACACTGACTTCATGTGTAAAAGGTGGATTGCTCCTTTAAAATTCACAAGCAAGGACCATGCTTGTGTTTAAAGTTGGAGCGTTGGTCGTCTCTGTGCACAGAAGCAGGAAGGAAAATGTCGTCTGTGTTTGTGCTCGCCATGGTGTCACTGTCTCCCATCAGAGGGTGTCGCACTGAAAAGACTTTTAAACAAACTACAATCAAAGAATTAATTCTGCTGTTGTACATGTGATGTTTAGTTTCCTCCCGATGGAGCGTCGCCAGCACCAGTAACACCAGTAACACCAGTCCCGTGAAAACAAACACAGATTCTGTTGTTTATTTGTTTTTGATTTTTAAATTTTAATTGTTTGAGAAGAACTGAACAAACATTAATTTATTGTTTCCTGTCTCTTTGCAGTCATCGTATTCTCAGCTGCTCGCGGCCACCTGTTTGTCTAAACTGGTATCTCGAACCAGCAACCCTCTACCGCTCGAACAACGCATCGACATCCGTGAGTCCACCTCCTTCTTTCAGCAGCGTCTCAGTCAGAGTGTCCTCAGAGACAGACGCACGGCGTCTTTACATTGTGGAAGTGTTGGATCGAGGCTGAACGCTCCTGCAGGCTGAACAGAGACAAACTAACACAACATGTGATGTCATTTGTTGAACGCAGCCTGTGTTTGAGAACACTGAATGATCCTCTGATACACAGACGCCTGTTTGATCTCTTGTTTATGTAGAAAACTCTGCAGCTTCAGTGATTATAGACATGACTGACTTTATTTTTATTTGTCATGTCCGTGTTCTGAGGGTGTATTTTATTAAGTTGATGAGGTGATGAGCAGGCGCAGCAGAGCCGTGGCTCCCAGCTGTCTCTTTACCACAGAGCTCATTTTTTCATGTCCAGTGTTTCCAGTAGATAAACTGTGGTGGAGGGGTGGTGGAGGAGATAAGAAGTCAGAGCAAGGGTCAGATCCTGTCCTCATGCTCCTCTCATGGTCCAGATACACCGTCGAACGTTGATGGTCTTCGCCTCTTCCAAAGAACTTAAGTGTTTTTGGTTCTTGGAAGTGCGTCTTGTTGCAGCTTTGCTCCAACTGGAGCGAACACTGAGCCACGTTTGAGGGACAAACAACTATGTGCTGAAATAACACCACATTTGTATAATTATTATCAGGCCCCCTGAAAACCCAAGAATTGAATCATCAGTCAGAGACTCAAAACTTGTTTTTGGCCATGACTCAAGAATTCATACGCTAATTATGGAAAACGTCACACAAATGTCTAACAGGATAAAATAATGAAACGATGACATTTTATATCCAAAAGGTCAAAGGTCAACTTTAGGGCTGACATCACAATGACATCATGTTATCAGCTGGAGGTGCAGCTGCCTCTCCCCCACAGGGCTGTAGGCTCCATAGGAGTGTTAAAATGTGTTTGTCTTGTTGTGTTATTGGGAGCCAGAATAGAAGGAGTCATGGCTCAAAACCAGCCGCCACTGCCCGTCAACAAAAACAAAGACAACTATGGTTAAATGTGATAAGACCAAAGGACTGGACGGAGGCCATCATCAAAAATGCTCACATGTGCAGCGCACACTTCATATCAGGTTAGGGAAAAAGTATTTCCTGTTGTAGGGATGAATAAGGTTATGTGTATTAAGGGTTATCATGTCCACCTCATCAGAAACTGGGGAGGGATTAAGAGGAATATTGGATTTCTCTGCAACGCTAACTTTTTAGCACATTAGCTAACGTTAGCTTCCATAGCAAAACAAACAAGTGTGGTCCTCCTTTGTAAGATTGGCTTCCTGTGACATCATCCATCCACTGAGTGAGAGCATACGGGTCGGCCAGTCTGGTCCCGTTGGTCAGTGTTTACTTATTCAAGTAACACTGGCGGTCCCGGAGAGTGAGTGACCTGACATGGTGCGTTGGTAAATTCAGTCTGACGCTCTACACTAAAATGAGAGCCCTGTTGGTGGAAGAAACGCAGCGTTATATTTCTACATGAATGAACCAACGGTTAAGTTAATCACACATTCACTCCGCTCGGCGCTCTGCTGCTCCGTCTCCACAGACAGAGTGTCCAGAGTGCGCTCTGCCACTCTGAGAGTGCGCTGCTCTGGATAACCCAACGCTACATTCAGACAGCGCTCCCAATTTATCAACGCTCCAGTTTGTGTCAGAGTGCGCTCCCACACTCACAATGAGTGTTTCTGAACGCACCACTCACATCATCTTCCTCCATCGTCTAAAACAAGACAACACAACTTGTTAGCTAGCGCTAGCTAATGTCTGTGGAGAACTGTTTTGCCTCCAGCTAAGCCCCGCCCATAACAAAACATCATACTGTTTACTTACAGTATGTTAGTTAGGACTTTTGAAACACAGCAGCTCAGTCTGAGAAAGTCTTTCAGATGTTTGTTTGTGTGTTTGTTTGTTTGTGATGTTTTAGGGAACTATGTGCTGAATTATTTGGCCACGCGGCCGAAGTTAGCTGCGTTTGTGACGCAGGCTTTGATCCAACTGTACGCCAGGATCACCAAACTGGGCTGGTTCGACTGTCAGAAAGATGACTACGTCTTCAGGAACGTCATCGCTGATGTGACACGCTTTCTACAGGTCGGTGTGTGTTTTAGTCGTGTGTCACAGAGTGTGCGTCTGTTGCTGTGGAGCTGACGTGTAACTGGTGTGTTTACAGGACAGCGTGGAGCACTGCATCATCGGGGTTACTATTCTGTCCCAACTGACGAATGAGATCAATCAGGTGAGTCGTCGTCTCCTTCTTCTTCTTCTTCTTCTTCTTCTTCTTCTTCTTCTTCTTCTTCTTCTTCCGTTTGTGTGTCGTCGTATTGAAAATGTTTAACGCCGTCTCTTTCCTCTTCAGGCCGACACAACGCATCCTCTGACCAAACACAGGAAGATCGCATCATCGTTCAGAGATTCTTCGCTCTTCGACATTTTCACTCTCTCCTGCAACCTCCTCAAACAGGTGCGTTTACAGAGAGCACGAAACAACAAGATGGAAATCATCTTTTACAGCTCCAGTATGTAGGATTTAAATGGAATATAGTGGAATCAGTTTTCTTTAGTGTTTAATCACCTGAAAATAAGAATTGTGTTTTCGTTACCTTAGAATGAGACGTTTATATCTACACAGGGAGCAGGCCCTTGTCTACAGAGATCACCATGTTGCACCGCTGTGTTTCTACAGTAGCCCAGAACAGACAAACCAAACACTGGCCTAGATGGAGACACTTAAGATTTCATGTCGACCACCATAGTTCGCAGCACTTCTGCGACGAGAGCATCGGAACAGCACAAATGTTTATGCCTCCCCACCGTTGAGAGCCGTGGCCGGTGCTATTATGTTTTTGCGTTGTCCGTACATCTGTCTAATTCTTGTAATTGCGAAATCTTAAGAGCATCTTAAGAACATCTTAAGAACATCTTAAGGGAATGTCCACTTGGACTTGAAATAACAATAAACTGATTAAAATTTGATGTTCAAAGGTCACTGTGACTTTGTCTGTCTCACTCTCGTGAACGCTATATCTTAATATCGTATCTCAGGAACAGAAGGGGAGACATTTGGTCAGATACATAAAGAAAAAATATCCAAAGAATGACAAAGTAAACAAACAGTAAAAATGTCAACAGCTTGTATAAACATATCAGTAATGATAAAACATAACAAGTTAGAGAATAATGGTTTGTGAAATATTGTGTTGTGTGATGCAGAGACCAGCTGATGTCACCACCTGACACACCGTCACTGTGCTGCGTTCACTGTCAGTCTGAAAATAATTCCCCTCAGCAGACTTTATAAAGAGCTTAATATTTGACCTGCTGTAACAGTCTGTCAGTTAATGACACAGACGGAGGAAAACAAACAGTGGATCAGAATTTAGAGGGGATTAAAAAACATAAGCTCAGACAGACGACATGATACTGAACTCAGTCAGCTGGATGAAATAAATGTCTCACCAACACAGTTTCATCATCTTCTTCCTGTTTGTTTTCAGGCGTCGGGGAAGAACCTGAACCTGAACGATGAGTCTCAGCACGGCCTCCTGATGCAGCTGCTCAAACTCAGCTACAATTGCCTCAACTACGACTTTATAGGAACTTCCACAGATGAGTCGTCGGACGACCTCTGCACCGTACAGATCCCCACATCATGGAGATCAGGTAGCTGCAGTGAGCGTGGGGACAGTGTGAGCTCTGAGTTCAGTTTCAGCTCGGGGAAGCACTAGATTAATTTACAGATTTTATTGTACATTTTAAAAATGTGTTTCATATTTTTCATTCGAAAAATGATTCAGTGATTAAAGCTGGGGTGGACAGTGTGACCCCGTCAGTCCCGTTCTTGTGAACACGATATCTTAAAGGACACCTTGAGGGAATTTCGTCCAATTAGGCACAAACGTCCACTTTCAGTCAAGGATGAACTGGATAGATTTTGGTGGTCACCGTGATATTGCATCCATTTTATTCTCGTGAAAGTAATATCTCAAAAGGGCCTTGAGAGAGTTTCCTAAGATTTGACACAAATGCCCACTTAGACTGAAGATCACATGTCACAAGTCACATTTTCATGAGCGCAGTATCTCAGTGAAACCTAGAGGGATTTTTTCTTTTAAGTTTGGCGCAAACATCCACTGTCAGTCAAGGAAGAACTGATTAGAATTTTGTGGTCAAAAGTTAGAGTCCCTGTGACCCTGTCTGTCACATTCTCATGATCTCAGTACCTCAAGAAGGCCTTGAGGGAGTTTCCTCAAATTTGGCCCAAATTTAGACTTGGACAAATGAATTGATTAGAATTTGGTTGTTGAAATTCCAAAGTCAAGGTCACTTTGACCCCATCCATTGTATTCCTGTTAATGCAATTTCTCAATAATATCTTGAAGTAAGTTTCTTCAAGTTTGCCACAAACTCGTCAGTCAAGGATGAACTGATTAGAATTTGCCAGCAAAGGTCAAGGTCACTGTGACCTTACATCCATCTTATTCTTGTGAACACAATATCTCAAAAACACCTTTAGGGAATTTTTGCAAATTTGGCATGAAAGTCCACCTAGATTTGAGAATAAACTGATTAGAATTTGGTGTTCATAAGTCAAAGGTCAAGGTCACTGTGATCTCACAGAACAGTTTGTAGTTACAGTTGACACTCAAAAGATTTTGTGAATCTTGTTGTGACCCTGAAGTGGATCGTTTTGATACAAACGTCAGTCTCAACTAGAGCTGAGACAATTAGTAAAATGATTGATCAGTCATTAAAGTTGTTGATTAAGTAGACGTGCAAATAGTTTTCTGAGATTTCACATCACGGTAAACTGAGTATTTTTGGGTTTTGGACATTTACATATATCAACTTTGGATGAATGTTGAACTGTATTTTATTTTATTTTTTTTGGCATTTACAGACCAAACAATGAATGACTGTTGATGAAAATAACCTTTGAAGAATTGTGTCTGTAATGTGGGATTTATACTTGAGCTTGAAATCAACACTGTAGCCTGACGTGCACCTCCCCAGAAATGTAACTCCATGTCACAGTGACGCAGACCTCCTGTCTGTCTCTGTGAGCTGAAACCATTTCCCTCAGTGGAAACAAAGCTTTGATTTACTTTAATTTCACAGATAAGAAACAATAAATTGTGAAGACAATAAAGCCTCCACACACTGTGTGTGATTTATCCTGGCTGAAATATGAGCAGAGGAAATCTCTGCTAGCTGCTAGGCTAATTTATACAATGTAAAATGCCATAGGCTTGTGCTAATAACGTTAGCATGTTGTATTTGTGGGGAAAATGTGTCCAGATAAAGACAAGTGTTTGTCTGTGAATGCTGCGAGTTATAGTGAAGCTGATTTGTGTTTGAAACTGTCTCTATTAAGCCATGTTTAATGTGTGTTTAATGTGTGTTTTGAATCAACTAAACTTTACAGCACTTCACAGAAACAGCTGCCACCAACTAGTGTTTTAGAGGTGTAACTGCAGAGTGACACAGACACACCACCGCCCAAGTATAATATGCTCGTAACGGTGTAGGCCACGTGTGTAAGCTACGGCGTAGGCTGTGCATCGAGTTGACACACAAGTATAAATCCCTCTTAAAACTTGTTCTGACATCATCTTCTGTTTATTTTCTCTCTTGCAGCGTTTCTTGATTCCTCCACCCTGCAGCTCTTTTTCAATTTATATCATTCCATCCCTCCGTCCCTTTCCCCATTGGTAAGTCCTTCATATCACGATAAACCCTCCAGAGTAACCTGCGGAGCCTCCTGTGTGTGACAGACTGTTGTGTGTTTGTGTGTGCAGGTGTTGTCGTGTCTAGTTCAGATAGCCTCTGTCAGGCGGTCTCTCTTCAACAACGCAGAACGAGCAAAGTTTCTTTCACATTTGGTGGACGGAGTGAAGAGGATACTAGCAAACCCACAGGTCGGTCACACAAACACACTTTCACAGCTTTGTTTTGTTTTGTTAGCAGCAGTTTTTTTGACGTTGTTTTGGTGTTTGTTTCAGTGTTTGCCCGATCCTAATAACTACCACGAGTTCTGTCGTCTACTGGCGAGGCTGAAGAGTAACTACCAGCTGGGGGAGCTGGTCAAAGTAGAAAACTACCCTGAAGTTATTCGCCTCATAGCCAACTTCACCGTCACCAGTCTGCAGGTGGGTGTTCACATCTCACACACGGAGAATTAAAGCAGGGACGCTGAATAAATGCTTCGATCAGGAGCCGATGATTAACCAACTCTGACGTCTCCAAACGTCACAGATACTAAAACAGACGATAAACTCAGCTCAGCTTTCTTTTTTTCCTGACACTGGGACGTGAATTAACACAGAATGAAGTTAGTTTGATCATTCAATCAGCGATTGTCTCCTGAGCTGAATCAGACAGATCCTGATGACAGGGTTTTTACGGTCATGAATAACCTGGAAAGGTCGTGGAATTTTTAAAAAGCAAAGCCTGGAAAAGTTTTGGAAAATATACAAACCCATAAAGAAGGGTTGCAAGGGTATTAATAACAACAATAATAATAATAATAATACACTTTATTTATATGGCACCTTTTATACAAGAGATGAAGCACAAAGGTCTTTACATTAAACAGACAAACAAGGCAATGTAATATAAAACAACATTCCAAACAGTTTAAAACATGGATTAACTGATTCATAAAATGATGGCTGTGTTTTTGGAGGCAAATAGTTAACAAGGGAGTCAGTGATGTAGCTCGGTCCCAGCCCATGTAGGGCTTTGTCTACAAGGGGGAGGAGCTTAAAATCTGTAACATGAAGTCAGTGCAGAGCAGCTCAGACTGGCCTGATGTGCTCTCTCCTCTTGGTTCTGGTTCATAGCCGAGCTACAGAGGTTTCAAACAGCTCAAGTCAGTAAAAAGTGCGTTACAGTCGTCAAGTCGGCTCGAAATAAAGGCATGAATCAATTTCACGGCACCTTTTATATTTAGAAATGGTCGTACCTTGGTGATGTTTCTGTTTCTGAGGTGGAAATATGATGTCGTCACCTTGTTAATGTGGGACTGGAAGCTTTGATCTGAATCTAGGATCACGCCAAGACTTGTCACCTCAGATTTAATCCAGGGAGTTAAATTAGATTATTAAGCAGCATTTTTCTTTTGGTTTTAGCAGGATTTCAGTTTTGTCTTCATTTCACTTAAAGAAATTATTGCTCATCCATATATTTATTGCCAAAACACAGGTAGTGATGGAGTTTATGGCTGCAGCATCGTTTGGCTCAGCAGAGATGTACAGTTGTGTCCACATAATTCCTACAACAAAAATCCTACAACATGTCAAACCCAAATACAGCAGGTTTTTTTTACACTCAGAGCCAGTACCAGCAGAACACAGGGGTTAAAGAGTTTCAGCTGTGACTCTGTAAAGTGACGCTCACGTGTCGTTCTCCTCCGGTGTGTCAGCACTGGGAGTTTGCCCCCAACAGTGTTCACTACCTGCTGAGTCTATGGCAGCGCCTGGCAGCGTCGGTCCCCTACGTCAAAGCCACCGAGCCTCATCTGCTGGAGACGTACACTCCGGAGGTCACCAAGGCCTACATCACGTCACGGCTGGAGTCGGTCCACGTCATCCTCAGGTGAGATCTGCTCTGTAACACCGTCAGCTTTAAAGTGAGACGCCTTTGATCTGCATTACTGCCCTGGATTTTTTTTTTTATTGTTAGTGCAGTTTTTTATCAGCTGCTTTTTTGGGGGGTACGACTAGGACTGACTGATGCTTTTATTTTGCTAAGTTCACTGCTGGTGTTAGCTGTGGTGAGAGGTATTACGATTTCAGGTTGTCTGTCCATCTGTCCGTCTCATTCTTGTAAAGGTGATATCTAAAGAAGGCCTTATGGGAAGCCCTTCCAGTTTGGCACAAACGTTCACATGGATTCAGCAATAAACTGAATAGATTTTGATGGTCAAAGGTCACTATGACTGATCTGTCTCATTGTCTTGAACATCACTCTCAAGAACACCTTGAAGGAATTTCTTTAAATTTAGCACAAACATCCACTTGGACTCAACAATGACCTGATTTTTGGTTTTCAAAGATACAAGTCTTTGTGACCCCTCATCCGTCACATTTTTATAAAAGGGATATTGCAAGAAAGCTTCGATGGAATTTCCTCATATTTGGGAAAAGCATCAACCTGGACCTAAGAATTACTGATTTCAACTTGTTGGTCAAAGGTCACTGTCACTGTGACCCCGACTGTCGCATTCTTGTTTTTGGCCATAACTTAACAATTCATATGGTAATGATGACAAACAAACAACAGCTAGGTGGTTATTCTAGTTTATTGTTGGTGCTTTTTTTTCTCAGCAGTTTGTTTTGATTGACGAGGACTGACTGATTCTTTTATTTTGATAGTTTACTTTTTTCTTTTCCTTGTTTTACTTACGCAGGTGTTGTAAAATCAGTTTTACAATTCTTTTTTATCCTGATACAATATGTTATTATGTACTTTTACACATACAAGAAATGAAGGATAAAAGCTGAAACAGTCCAATCCAGTAAGAAAGACAGCCAAGCTGTTTCTGCCTGTTTCTAGTCTTTATGCTAAGCTAACTAGCTGCTGGCTGTAGCTTCATATCCAGCATGTTAACATGTTGATATTCTTGTTTAAATCTCAGCAAGGAAGCAAATAAACCTTGTTCTCCAAATGTTGAACTGTTCCCTGGAGCTGGAGATGAGTCAGATATACGCACACTCTCTGACGGTCTGTTTCTCTGTACGACTTGTTTCTGTATAAACCACCAGTGGATCCTTCTGCAGGTTCTTGAGCATTAGTGCTGTTATAGTGTTGATTCTAAAAGTGTTTCCCTGTTTTGTTTGTATCTTGTTCACGTGTTTGAGGACGCAGACGATGCACAGCCTTGATGTGTTTAATAATGTGTCATGAAATGAAGCAAATGCATCAACAAAGAACAAAGAAAGATAAGTTGTTATTTCACAGGGATGTAAACAATGCAGGTTTGAATTTTTTTCCAGAAACACCTGATTGTAGTCTCAAACTGAACTGACGTGTTGCCTCCACAGAGATGGTTTAGAAGACCCTCTGGACGACGCCGGCCTGGTCCAGCAGCAGTTAGACCAGCTGTCCACCATCGGGAGGTGTGAGTACGAGAAGACGTGCGCTCTGCTGGTGCAGCTGTTCGACCAGGCGGCTCAGACCTACCAGGAACTGCTACAGTCCACCAACTCGAGTGCTGCAGACATCACTGTGCAGGAGGGTACGAGCTGCAGGCACACACACACACACACACACACACACACACACACACACACTTAACACAGCATGCTCACAGTGTCACATTAACTCTTGTAGTTTCACATGAAGCAGAATCAGGTTTACTGCCAGGTGTTTTCTCACGTAACAAGGAATGGGTTTTGGCATTTTGGTGCGTAACGATCAAAATAAACACGGTTAGAGAAAAGAAAAAGAAATAAGAAAAAAGAATCTTAAATATAAAATAAAAAATATGAAGTGTTGAAGATGATGTCTCTGTGATTATAGTGAATGAATTGAAATCTTGTTTTCAGGATCTTAATGTCTCCCTAACAGTGTGTTCCCTCCCTGTGCAGGTCGGTTGACATGGTTGGTTTATATAATCGGGGCAGTTATAGGAGGACGGGTGTCGTTTGCGAGCACAGATGAGCAGGACGCCATGGATGGAGAGTTAGTCTGTCGGTAAGAACTCAAGAAGACACGAGAGTTGTCGAGTTAGATATGTTTTGAGGAATCATTTTGATTTTCATCTGATTAGATTTTGCAAGGGTTTTTATGCTTAAACAAAATTAAATAAAACGAAAGGACAATCAGCAAAAGCCACAAAATCGTCTTTGAAATCAAGTGATAGAATAAAAATAACTGCAACTATTTTGATCTTGATTTGTCATTAAACAAAATTACCCAGATTGAGGTTCTCAACTGTGAAAGTTTACTGCTTTTCTTTGTGTTTTGTGATAGTTAACTGATTGATTTTTTTGCTTAGACTTTTAGTTGGGTAGAACAAGCAATTTGAAGACTAAACCTTGGGCTTATTTAACCAAGGTTTTGATTCAAGCTTAATACATTTTATACGTTTATAGGTTTTGGCCTTCAGGTTCAGGTCAAGACTGAACTGATCTTGATCTAAGTGAACTTTGATTATGTGTAAATGTGTTCTGAGTCTTTCGTTACACTAAAACGGAGGAGTCACCAGCAGAAAAGTACATTGATTTATAATAGAAACAGTAGAGGACCCAATACACTTCCCTGTGGTACTCCACATGTTGTTGATAAAGAAGTCCTTTGAATTGATTTCCTATGACGCTGGCCTTTATACTCCCTAGTTCCTAAGAAACTGTCTTTGAAACAATTGGTCAATAGACAGAAAAAATAATCTGCAACTACTATGACCATAATTTTTGTGCAATTAAGATTACCCAGCATTCTTGGGGTTCAGGTTCTCAAGTTTTAAGATTTAATGCTTTGTATTATATGTTATTAAATGCCTGTGGATATTCTCATTCATCCAGGTCATAGTTATCTCAAGGCAGTTGAATCGAACGCAACTGGAGACAAAACCAAGTCCAGTTGCGTTTGATTCAATTGCCTTGAAATATGTTATTAAATTGGTTATATTTGTGTTTTGGACTCTGAGTCGGACAAAACAAGCAATTTGAAGACTTCACTATGGATTTATTTCACCGAAGTTTTGATTTAAGCTAAATATATGTTATACGTTTATAAGTTCTGGCCTTATGAAGAGTTCAGGTCAAGACTGAATTGATCTTGATCTTAGTGAATTCTTTTTGATTGTGTATAAAGCCTCTAGCACACAGAAAGCATTTTGCAGGTTGTGAAATGCGAGGTGTGCAGCACTGCCTCTTTTTTAAATTAAATTAAATTCCACTAGTGAAAAAAAACGCTTGCTGCACCAGGCAACCACCCCATCACCTCCTTACCCTAACCTTCCAGTGTAATCAATCTACTGTTAATTTATTGTATTTGTCTGACAGTAATCAGTGTGTAGTTGCTGCCATGTTGAGGCAGAGGGTGCTGTCTGTAGCTCTGGTTGAAGGTGAGAGGCTGTCAGCAGATAAACAGAGATCTGTGTGGGTACATGAGACCCTAAAAAAGAGGCTGGATCATGGGGAGTACCACCAGGGCCTAAATATGTTCTCAGTCTTATGCAGTCCTAAAACGGAGGAGTCATCAGCATTGTACAGAACATTTCCACATTCCAAGTCATTGATATATGAAGGAAACATCAGAGGCCCCAAAACGCTTCCCTGTGGGACTCCACATTTTCTGGGGTGATTTCTAGATTACTGAGTCTGTTGAATAGATTTCCTTAAACCCAACTGGAACTTGAAATAAAATGGATTTAAATAATTGATAAGCTGATTAAGCTGTTTGTGTTTGTGTGTCAACCTTAGGGTGCTCCAGCTGATGAATCTGACTGACTCTCGGCTCGCTCAGGCAGGCAACGAGAGGCTGGAGCTGGCCATGCTCAGCTTCTTTGAACAGTTCAGGAAGATTTACATCGGTGACCAGGTGCAGAAATCATCAAAGGTGAGCACTGCTGGTAATGATGCTGCTGCTGGAACATGTTGGACAGTCTGTAGCATGTGTCCACTGTGTTAGATTACACCCCCCCCCTCCCCCCCTCAGTAACCCTGTCTGCTGTTAGCGTTGGTGGGACCGGGCAGGTCTTTTGTCTGCCACACCGTGCTGACTGCAGCAGTTTGTATAGAGCCACAGAGTCTCAGTCTGCCTCTACTCATGTCGTACCATTGTGTTGTTGTAAGTGGTGTAAAGTACAGCGGTTCGTGCTGACTGACGGAGTGTGTTCTCTTTGTTCGGGGCAGAAACTGCAAAATGTGAACGTCCCAGATAAGTGGTGTCATCTAGTTCGTCTCCATGTGTGTGGTTCTGGTCTGGTGTTAGCTCCTCTTCAGCCCCTCACAGAGTTCATCACACAGCTGTTCAGTAGACATAGAATCAGATCAGCAGATATCCCAAAATAAAACTTCAATGATGTTTGTAGGTTTTCAGTGTAGTGAGTCCCCAGGACCCACTGGTGATCATTTGAGTGTGTCCCTAATAAAGTTTGTGTTGACTGTAGTGTTTGATGTTATATGGATATTAAAATTATTATTAAAGGTCCAGTGTGAAGGATGCAGGGGGGTATGTCAGCAGCAATATAAACTATATAATATAAAATAAAAAATAATATGTAAAAAAAAAGAATTGTGTTTTTGTTTCCCTGGAATGGGACATTAATATCTACACAGGGAGCAGGTCCTCATCTACGGAGATCACCATGTTGGACTGCCATGTTTCTACAGTAGCCCAGAATGGACAAACACCAATGCCTCTAAATGGAGACGTTTGCGTTTACGTGTACGCCACTGTAGCCCCGAGAGTGTCAGTAAAACATTAATTTTTATGCCTCCCCGCCATTGACAACCGTGGCTGGTGCTAATATGTTTTTGAGTTGTCCGTACATCTGTCTCATTCTTGTGAACGTAATATTTCAACAACACCTTGAGAGAATTTTCTTCACATTTGGCACAAACGTCCACTTGGACTCGACAATAATCTGATTAGATTTTTGGTTTTCAAAGGTAAAGGTCAGTGTGACCTCTCATCTGTGTCATTCTTGTGAACTCCGTGATGGAATTACTCGTATTTGGCCTTCAGAACACCTAGAGGGAATTGTCTTCAAATTTGGCACAAACATCCATCTGGACTTAATGTAAACTATAAACTGATTCATTTTGATTGTCAAAGGTCAAGGTCACTGTGAGCTTGTGTGTCTCATTCTCTTGAAAGCCATATCTTGATGTGTTTCATTAAATTTGACACAAACGTCCGCTTGGACTCAACGATGAACACATTAGGTGTGGAGGTGACCTCTGTGGATAATTCAGCCTTCAGTAAAAACCTTCTGAACATCTGGATCTTCAGTTATCAGAGTAAAAAGCTGAGCGAACATTAGCAGGTGCTATGCTAGCGGCCTGTCTCTGACGTGACGAACACCGTTTTGTGACATGCATCGTCTTTATTAAGTGTATTTACCGGTTTAAATCAGCTGGTCTGTTTGTTTCTGTGGATAATTCAACTCCTGGTTACAACCTCCTGAAGGAATTGTAACCAGGAGAAGTTTCAGCTGGCTACAATCTGCAGTCCTCATAGCTTGACGACACTAAAGCCCCGTAAATCTGACACACTGCTCCTTTAAATATCTCGACAGGTTAGAGTGAAAATATGTGTTTCTGATTTTGGGGTGAACTGTCCCTTTATTAGAAACATCCTCTGATATTAATACATATATGAACATGTGTGTACTGTGACGGTAACACTGACGGAGCTGTGTGTTTGTTTGTTATTGTTTACTGCAGCTTTATCGGCGACTATCAGAAGTTCTGGGTCTGAACGACGAGACGATGGTACTCAGTGTCTTTATAGGGAAAATGTGAGTAACAAATTAAACGTGTCTCTCAGGCACAGATCATTTGTTAAGGCTGTAAGATTATGTTTGTCTATGTAACAAATATTAAAGTGACATCACTGATGAGGCATGTCAGTCTCATGTTGAACCTTGTCATATAAACAGAAAGTGTCTTCTTCAGGGTCACTCTGTGATGACATCACTGTAAACAATCTGTTCTGTGTTCCAGCATCACAAACTTGAAGTACTGGGGCCAGTGTGAACCAATCACCTCCAAGACACTCCAACTACTGAACGACCTCTCTTTAGGATATCCTTCATCTGTGTGTGTGTGTGTGTGTGTGTGTGTGTGGTTATTTAAAAAGAAGCATAATAAGATTATTATTTTTCTTCTTGTTTTTTTTATTTTTATTTTTTTACATTTTATTATTATTGTTATTGTTTTTATTATTGAACTTTTTTAAATTATTTATTTTTATTTATTAACCTTTAATTTACTTTCTTATTTATTTACTTTTAATGGTTTAACATTTAATGGTATTATTACTATTTTCATTTAATTTTTTAATTGTTTTTATATTTTATTATTATTATTGAAAATTAACTTCTTTATTATTTGTTTATTTTATTTATCAACATTTAATTTACTTTACCTTATTTAATTTACTTATTTATTTATTTACTTTTTATGGTTCAACATTTACTTTAATAACTTTATTATTAGTATAATTATTATTTATGTATTTATTTATTTTAATTCTTTTTTTAAATTGTCAGTTTATCTAACAATTATTTTAAACTATTAAGTCTAACAATTTTTCTAACATTTTTTCCAATTGTTTATTATTATTATAATTTAAGTATATATTATTTTTATTCATTTATTTATTATGTATTTGAATTTAATTATTTATTTTTATTTTTAAACTATTGTTTTTGTTAAAAAACAAACACATTTATCAAAAATGTTTTTTTTTCCTTGTGTAAGGAAGATTAATATTAACTGATATATCTCTGATATATTTTATTAACTCTCACATATCAATATAAATATCGGCCTCCAAAAAATCCTGCAAGTGTCGACTGTAGCTGCAGCTGATGGTTAGATTAAATGTCAGTTCATCTAAAGATTATTATCAACTCTTGCATCTAAAATGAGTCTTTTTCATTATTATTAACATTATAATTTTAATTAACAAATCAAAAGCCAGATTTAAAATAAAATAATAAGATATTCTGTTCACTGAGATATTAAACAGAGAAAAGCAACATTTGAGAAGCTGAAATTAAAAAATGTTGCTGAATAGATAACCACAAAGATCAATATTTATCAAAATAAATTATTAATTTTTTAATCTTCTCAGCTCAAACATGACTCGTAATAACATTACTGTAATGATTTCCTGTGTATGTGTCCGTCTTCTCCTTGACTTCCTGTTTGTTCACGTACAGCAGTGTGAGGAAGCTAGTGAAGCTCAGCGCGGTCCAGTTCATGTTGAATAACCACACAGTGAGTTTAAACTTCACACACGCTACCTGTGACACATGTCACATATGACCTGTGGTGTTATTAACCTGCTGTGTGTGTGTGTGTGTGTGTGTGTGTGTGTGTGTGTGTGTTGTCAGAGCGAGCACTTCTCCTTCCTGGGAGTCAACAACCAGTCCAACCTGAGCGACATGAGGTGTCGGACCACCTTCTACACAGCACTGGGGCGCCTGTTAATGGTCGACCTTGGTAAGCACGTGCACACGCACGCGCACACGCACACACACACACACACACACACACAGTGGCTGTTCAGTCAGCCTTTATTTATAGACCTTGTTACCCAGAGATGGCACCACAGAGCCGCCACCAAGTCCCATCTTTGTGCCGCCTTTGTATTTTTACACAGAACCAAGCGGCGATGGCATCATGACACTCTAGTGTGTGATTTTTAGGCAGCATGATGACATCACGGCATCGAAAGAGCCGTGACATGTAACACAGCAGCGTTGGCCTCTAGTGTGACATATAACAAACGTGTCAGCAGCTCTTTATAAACAACAACAATGACATCACATGTCAATAACAATCATTTAGCGTCACTGTTATATGGCGGCTGATCTCGTCCTCTGCTCGGAGGTTAAGGAGCTCCTGGACCTCAGTGTTTCACAGTTTGAGGACGTTTCAAGCTGCTGCAATTTGTCTTTGAGTTAGCTGCTAACTGCTAACAGCTACTTAAATCTCCCAACATTGAGTGACACACATAACATGTCCTCAGACGTCGATTTGGCACTGTCACTATGTCCGTGAGACAACTCTGTCCCCCAACTCCACAACTGTACCTTTTTATACAGAACAGAGAGGCGGAATAACGTCACAGAATTCTCTCACAGTGGGTCACGCACATAACACGTTCTCAGACCTGTCCTGTCCACGGTCCTGTTCATGCAGACGTCTTGGGGCTGCTGCTACGTCCTGTGGTGACTTGAGGGTGAGACAATTCTGTCCCCCCATTCTGTGTTAACAGACTGTCTGTCTGTCTGTGTAGGTGAGGACGAGGACCAGTTTGAACAGTTCATGTTGCCTCTGACGGCTGCGTTTGAAACTGTGGCTCAGATGTTGAGTACGAACACCTTCAACGAACAGGAAGCCAAGGTGAGACACACACACACACACACACACACACACACACACACTGCATGCTGTTTGCTTACAATACTGTAAAATATAAAACTTCATATTATCAGCGCTGTTTGTCAGCTATAATTTTGATTATCAGAATATTGTTTTATTATAAAAATGTCCAGTTATTGGACCGGTATATATCGTGCATCCCTAATTTTAATCCTAGTCAGATAATAAATTGACCATTTCAAAAAGCTGTCATGTATTAATCAGTGAAAAGGGGTCATTGGTTCCAGTCACTTAGGGACTGTTCTTTGTGTGTCAGAGGAGGGGGCTGACTTTTTTTATTTATTTTTTTACCATCCCTAAAGCTATAAATGTTTTTCCTCAATCCTCGCTGAGTGACTGGCAGAAAATGTTTCACCACTCTGCCATAAATGAGTTATTATATATTTAAAACTCACCCTGTGATGTTTGAAAGTTAAAAGTTAAAGATGAAATCCTGGAGTTGAAAAAAGCCTCAGTCTTTCGATCTTGTCGTGCCGCTGGTTAGTTTGTGCAAACATTTTACGCTTTACATGAGAATCAGAACAAAATATTTTTTTTCTTTTTAAGTATTTTAAGCTCAGATTCAGTTATGTGTCTTATTTTTGTCTTGTTTTTTTCTGACAGAAGCATTCGTCACACATGATGTGTCCAAGAGCCGTCAGAAATTTAAATACAACAATAATTTCTGTTTTTACAGTTTCTGGCTGATAAATGGTGTCATGTTTATTTTTAACCCTCTTTTTGAACACATTCTTTATAAACTTATATGTGTTATAGAATGAAATACAAAAAAAGAGAAAAGAAAGAAAAACACAGACGATCTTTGAGAAATGAATAGCTCCAAATATAACAGGCTGGGTCAGTGAGTCACATAGACGGGGTGAAGTTGTTTCACTTGAGTCCATTTCTGTACCTTTAATGTGTTTCCTTGTTGGGTTGATTTGTGTCATTATATTTAGGAAATAAATCCACTTCCATGAGCATACTTAATTCTCTAACTATTTAGTTATTTCGGGGCCCAGTCAGACAGCTTCATCATACTCAAAGGGTTTATAGCCTTATATTTCCAGGCCTTCTGTAGGACACAGTGGACAACCAAAGTAAACCTAAATATAGGTATGAACATGGAAAAACTAATACAAAAAAGAACCTGAACTCCACATATGAACCAGAATGTTGGGGTGTGTCTTCGTGATACTCTAATCACTTTATAACCAAGAATATAAGATCAATTAAAGGTAAAATAAAACGACTCAAAAGGAGATAAATTCACCTTAAACTTACAAACAAAGACCAGGTTTAATGTACACCGTCCAGTTCTTCCTATCTTTTCAAAAACTTGTCCTGTTGCAGTCTAACAGAAAAAAATCATTCTTTCCACCCTAATGATGCAATTTTGCAGATTTTTAAAGAAAATAACGTCGAGTTTAGACGGCACTTTTACATAAGAAATTGACAGTAAAATAAAAACAAAATGCAGCCATTTAAATCTGTATGCGTCTCCTCTAATTGACATGTCTCCCCCTTTTTGCACCACCTCCTCCACTCTCATGAATAACAAACAGTCCCTAAACCCTGAGGATTTTTTTGCTATATGTGATATAAAATGTAAAACAAATTTTTGTATTCTGAGTTAAAGACACAATGTAGAAATAAAATTATTAATTAGCTAATTTAATTCTCTTGTGTGAGTCATATAGTGTGCTGTTTTATAACATTTGGGTTTATTAACTTATGATAGCTATACATGTTCCAGCTTTATTGTCAGAGGTGTTTTATTCTGAAGGTTCTCCTCTTCTTCTCTTGTTTCCTGTAGAGGACTCTGGTGGGTTTGGTCCGAGACCTGCGAGGCATCGCGTTCGCCTTCAACGCCAAGACGAGCTTCATGATGCTGTTTGACTGGATGTATCCTTCAGCTGACCTCAGATCTGTCGTCAAACACTGAGCTGAAATAATGTTTGTTATTCATCACATTCCTTTAAAGATCCGTCCTTAACTCAGAGCCGCAGATATCCAGCCTACATGCCCATCCTGCAGAGGGCCATAGAGCTGTGGTACCACGACCCAGCATGCACCACACCTGTCCTCAAACTCATGGCAGAGCTCGTTCACAACAGGTAAACATGCTCGATGACGCACATCCTTAAACAGTGACTGGTTACTTCAGAAGCAGAAGGACGAGTGTGACGTCAAGTTCAGACCAAAGATTCACAGCCAGACGAAACCGTTTTAGAACGTCACAGAGAAAAGTGTCAGCGGTGGTTTTAAAGCACGTCACCTGTTTCAACAGCCAATCAGCTTGTAGTGAAGTCAGCTGGTCAAGTCAAAATGACCACAGACGGCGTGTTGGCTTGCTGCAGCAGGTGCTCCGTCCCCACAGAGCCCTCTGTTTCTGTCCTCACGGTGTGCCGGTGTCAGACGGTGGGTCGCTGCTGCTGCTGGCTGTATGTGCTTATGCCCCGCCCACACACACACATTCTCATTGACTGATGAATTGGCGCTGGTTATTTATATTATTGTGGCGTATTATAAATCCGTACGTTCCATTTGTGTGAATGCGACATCTCATGCCTTTACACCTCCGTGCCGGTGATAGCTGGAAGCATTATGTTTTCAGGTTATTTGACCCATTCTTGTGAACACAATGTCTCAAGAAGGCTTTGAAGAAATTTCTTTAAATTTGGCACAAACGTCCACTTTGTGTTAAGGATGAATAATCAGAATTTAGCCCTCAAATGTGAAGATCACTGTGACTCTGTCCGACGCATTCTTGTGAACCTAAAATGTCAAGAACCCCTTGAGGGGATTTCTTGAATTGGCACAAACGACCACTTTAAGTCAGGGATTAACAAATTAGAATTTGGTGGTCAAAGGTCACTGTGACCTTGTCTGTCTTATTCTTGTAAACTGATATCTCAAAAACACCTTGAGGAATGTTTTTTCCAAATTTGGCAAAAAAAAAAAAAAAACGTTCACCTGGACTCAGAGATAAACTTATTAGAATTTGGTCAAAGGTAAAGGTCACTATAACTTTGTTCATCTCATTCTCTGAAACATGATATCCCAAGAAGGCCTTGAGGGAATTTATTCAAATTTGGCACAAATGACGACTTGGGCTCAACAATGAACTGTTTAGAATCTGGTGGTCAAAGGTTTCTGTGCCCTCGTCTGTCTCCTTCTCGTGAAGGTTATACCTCAAGAACACCTTGAGGGCATTTCTAAACATGTGACACAAACTTCCACTCAGACTCGAAGATAAACTGATTAGATTTTGGCGGTCGAAGGTCACTGTGACCTCACCAAACATGTTTAAGGGTATGTGCTACCTCAGGGAAGATGTGTCTGAAGCATTCTCAGACATAGATGTAAACTGTGAGTGCAACTTGGTTGGCGGAGGGATACAACAACAACACGGCAACTCCTTTGTTGAGTTGTCAGTGGAAACCAGTTTCTGTTGCTGGGACTACCACCTTCAGAGTGGTGACCATCAGGGATATTTTATTTATAATCAACAGGTTTGTTCTGTTTCACTTTTAAACCACAAACAAACCACCAGTCTTAGAGCAGGTTTGAACACCAGATTGTTTCAGCTGAACCAAACAGGTTTGGTGTGAACGCTCCGTACGATGCTTCACATGATAAATAAGTCATACATCACTTCTCCCTCAGACTGATTATTGATTATTGATGACTGACTGTTGTTTTGTTTTTGTTTTTGTTTGTAGATCCCAAAGGCTACAGTTTGACGTGTCGTCACCCAACGGTATCCTGCTGTTCAGAGAAACCAGCAAGATGATCACGACCTACGGTACACTGAGGCAATAACACTGATCTGCTGCTGTATGGAGGCCCAGAGGGTTCAAAATTAAATATATTAAATATGTACTAAAACAGGAAACGTCAAAAATAAGACATTATATAATAAGATATACCTACAATATACCTAAAAATAAGACACTGTGAAATAAATAATCACATGTATCACTCAGAGCCCGACTGATACTGCATCTCATTTATTTATTTATTTGTTTGTTTTGGTATTTTCAAAAAGTTTACTTTCAGTGTTATTAGAAATTGTTAAATCAGTTTATGCGTTATATTTTATCTGTGTATATGTGGACATACACACAGATAAAATAGTACAGGTCTTGGTCATTACTCAGTTTTATATTACTGTAAAAACATCAACACGTTTCTCCTTCAAACGGCTGAATTATTCAAATTCCTCACCAAAAACTACGTTTTACAAGATTACATTGAATACATCATGAAAACAGTTTAATAAACCTTCACCTAATACTCATTTTTACTGAGTAGAGCTTGAACGCATCAGAATGTAACTCAGTGTAACCTCTGTGAGCTGTTAGTTCCTCCAACAGCTAACAGCTAACGTTAGTTGATAAAAGCAAACAGCTTATGTTAACTACCTGCTAATAACTAACAGCTTATGCTAACTAGCAGCTAACAACTGCTGTTAACCAGCTGATAATAGCTAACAGCTATCGTTAGCTAGCTGATAACAGCTAATGTTAACTAGCTTATAACACCTAATTGTTGTAGTTAACTAGCCGCTAACAGCTAATTTTAACCAGCTGATAACAGCTCCTAACTAATGTCAACTAACTTTTAACACCAAATTGCTATTGTTAACAAGCCGCTAACAACTAACAGCTAATGTTAAGTAGCTGATATCAGCTAACAGGTAACTTGAATTAGCTGGTAACAGCAAACAGCTATTGTTAACCAGCGGATAAAAGCTTACAGCTGATGTTAACTAGCTTATAACACGTGATTGCTATTGTTAACTAGTTGCTAGCAGTTAATAGCTAACAATAACTAGCTCTCCTCCTGCTGATGTCACAGATTTGTTGTTCACAATATAACATTATCAGAGGAATCAACAGGCTGTGATACATTAAAGAAAATAGCATCAGTGTCATAAAGTACGGAGGCCTGGAAGGAGATCAAACATCCAACATACAAAATCGTACAATGTACAAATACAAATGTTTTCAGACGTGTGTTAGACTCATTAAAACAAAGATGTCTCAGTAATAAAACCATGTCGTGTCTGTCTTGTAGGGAATCGTATCCTGACGCTGGGCGAAGTCCCAAAGGACCAGGTGTACGGCGTGAAGCTGAAGGGGGTCAGCGTGTGTTTCGCCATGCTGAAGGCGGTGCTCAGCGGGAACTACGTCAACTTTGGGGTCTTCCGTCTGTACGGCGACGACGCGCTGGATAACGCCTTACAGACCTTCATCAAACTGCTGCTGTCCATCCCTCACAGTGACTTACTGGTATGTTCAGCAGCACACGTGATGACATCATCACAACACGGTTATCGATAAATGAAACACGTCGGGAAAAGTCAGGACACTTGGTACCTCCTGACCTGCTTCTCTACACTCTCCACATTACATCTTGTATTTTTACCAGATAAATCAGAGCTGATGTTTTTCATTTGGATTTTTTATATTTAAATGTTTATTTTTTTAGTTTTCTGACAAAAAGAAAATTGTGACAGAATTTCCAGATTAGCCTCCGTCTGTTCAGAGTTCAACACCTCCGTCCTCAGATCCTCATTTTCTCTGCTGTTTGTCGTCTTTTAACATTTCAACTCTCAACTTTATTTATGAAGCACTTAAACACAGTTGATCCACAGAGAGAGAAACAGAAGAAAAGACATGACTCGATATAAAGAAGCTATGCAGCAAGTAAACATCACAGTATAAATAAATAGAAAATAATTAGCTTTATTTTTGAGACTTCGCTGAAATTAGACTTTTATTATCAGTTTTTCTGACCAGTTGTGTGTTGATTTTAGTATAAATACACAGAATATGCTAAAAACTAAAAAAAAAACAAAGATAAAACTTTTACCTTTAAATGTGTTCTTTAAGGGGTCTGAGACCTCTGGTAATATTTATGAAGGACAAAATAAATTAATAAATAAATAAATGAAAAAAACAATATGCAAAAATAAATGAATATTAAATGAAAAAAGAAATCTTAAATACATAAATTCTTTTTTTTTTTAAATTAAAATAAGTTTATTTAAAAATTAATTTTGAAAAATACCTGAAAAAATAAAGAAATTAATAGAACTGCAAAATGAATACATAAAAAATATACACTTAAATAAATGATTTAAAAAGATTTTTCTAAATGTTAATGTAAAAATAAGTACCTGCATTTAAAAATATACAAATAATTAAAAGGGATATTAAATATAAAAAGTAAATAAATAGGGGAATTAATCCAAAGATCAATAGATAATGAAGCAAAGTAGAACAAAAATAAAATTCATGAGCACGTTTTATCAATAAATGAATGCCTGCATTTATTTTTAATATTTTTGGTACATGTAATGGCACATTAATTTATTTATCAGGTAATTTATTTATTTGTGAGAGTCCACTAAAATTAGATTGTTTAGGTTTTCAGGCTTTAATTAAGGAGTTCAACACACCTGGTGTTACATTATTATGTTATTTATGGAAGACAATAAGAATACATACATGTGTGACGCACTAACAGGAGCACAGTCTGGTTTTATTGTTGCCTGATCTATGTGGGTGTGTGTGACTCCTGTGTCCCTGCAGGACTACCCGAAGCTCAGCCAGTCCTTCTACTCTCTGCTGGAGGTGCTGACTCAGGACCACATGAACTTTATCGCCAGTCTGGAGCCGCACGTCGTCATGTACATCCTGTCTTCAATATCAGAAGGGCTCACCGCGCTCGGTAAGGAAGAACAACACAGGTCTCCAGTTTTCAGGAGTGTGCAGGTGACGATGTGTGTGTGTGTGACGTGTCCGAGTGTGTGTGTTTCAGATACGATGGTGTGCACCGGCTGCTGCTCCAGTCTGGACCACATAGTGACCTACCTGTTCAAGCAGCTGTCTCGCTCCACCAAGAAGCGTCCCACTCCCATGGCAACGGACGACCGCTTCCTCCACATCATGCAGCAGCACCCCGAGATGATCCAGCAGGTCAGGACACGTTTCCTCGTCACTTCAGCACAAACGCACCAGTCTGACTTTTTACACCTCCGTGCCGGCGATAGCTGGAAGCATTATGTTTCAGGTTGTCTGTCCCGTTCTTGTAAAAGTAAAATCTCAAGAAAGCCCTGAGAAATATTTTTTCAAATTTTGCACAAACATCACTGAGTCAGAGATGAACTAACCAGAATTCAATGCTCAAAGGTCAAGGTCACTGTGACTGCGTCCATCACATTCTTGTTAGTGCAATATCTTCAGAACCCTTTTTGAACTGATAAGAATTTGGTGGTTGAAGGTCAAGGTCACTATAACCTCATCCATCTCCTTCTCTTAAACATGACATCCCAAGAAGGCCTTGAGGGAATTTCTCTAAGTTTGGCACAAACAGCCACTTTAAGTCAAAGATCTTGTCTGTCTTATTCTTGTAAACATTAAATCTCAATACATTTGAGGTTTTTTTTTTTTTTTTTTTCAAATTCGGCACAAACGTTCACTTGGACTCAAAGATGAACTGATTAGAATTTGGTGGTCAAAGGTGAAGGTCACTGTGACCTTGTCTATCACATTCTTTTAAAGATGATATCCCAGGAAGGTCCTGGGAGAATTTCTCATATTTGGCACAAACGTCCACTTTGAGTCAAGGATCAACTCATTCGAATTTGGTGGTCAGTGGTCACTGTGACCTCATCTGTCTTTGTCTTGTCAACATGAAATCTCCAGGACATCTTGAGGGAATGTCTTCAAATTTGGCACAAACGTCCACTTGGACTCAAGAATGAACTGATTAGAATTTGGTGGTTGAAGGTCACGGTCCCTATAACCTCATCCAACTCATTCTTTTAAACATGACATCCCAAGAAGGCCTTGAGCGAATTTCTTAAATTTGGCACAAACGTCAGGGTTGAGAGAGAGTTACTGCCCCAAGCGAGGAACTTCAAGTATCTTGGGGTCTTGTTCATGAGTGAGGGTAGAATGGGACGTGAGATGGATCGGTGGTTTGGTGCAGTGATGCAGGTGCTGCACCGGACCATCGTGGTGAAGAGGGAGCTCGGAGTAGAGCTGCTGCTCCTTCATGTTGAGGTGGTTCAACATCTGATCAGGATCCTCCTGGTCCAGCTGGTAGGAGGCCCCGGGGCAGACCCAGACCCGGATTATAGACCTCATCTGGTCTGGGAACACCTCGGGGTCCTCCAGGAGGAGCTGGAGAGTGTTGCTGGTTAGAGGGACGTTTGGGGTGATTTGCTGAGACCTGAACCAAAGCTCACAGTAAAAGCCCACTGTGACCTTCACATTGAAATACTTTTATTGTGAAGCACATGCAGGAAGTTTGCTCGGTGCTCAGACTGGTGCTGATTGTTGTTGTTGTTGTTGTTGTTTATTGTTGTGCAGATGCTGTCCACAGTGTTGAACATCATCATCTTCGAGGACTGTAGGAACCAGTGGTCCATGTCTCGACCTCTGTTAGGCCTCATCCTGCTCAACGAGAAGGTAACCATCACTCTTACACTGTGTGTGTGTGTGTCTGTGTGTTAACTTGTGTGTTAACTTGTGTGTTAACTTGTGTGTTTGTGTGTCCTGCAGTATTTTGCTGACCTGAGGAACAGCATCGTCAACAGTCAGCCTCCAGAGAAGCAGCAAGCCATGCACTTATGTTTCGAGAACTTGATGGAGGGAATAGAGAGAAATCTACTAACAAAGAACAGAGACAGGTACGCCACTGACGACATACATCATACACCTGGATTTCAGGATGTTGGGATCGTATTAGGTCACACAGATTCAGCCGACCTTGAAACTTAGTCCTCTAGCACAGTCCACAGCAGCAGACGTGCTCGGCCGTTGAACACTTGTTGGTGGACTCACTGCAGTTTGGGCGGATTTTCATGCTCTCAGTGTCGTCGCTGGGACGCCAACTTCTCAGGTGATGGAACAGGTGTATTGTGTAGCCAAACCTCCTCCAGATTGGGGGTAACACGAGCTCTTCTTCCACTCATTCTCCCCTCTTTTCGTTATGTCCGCGCTACGTTCACTTCCTCCTCACCTCAGCACAAACTTCCCCAACACTGCAGACTGACTGACAGCTGTCTGTTAACTTCTGCTGCGTGACACGCTGTTTGGATCTATCTCGGCCTGTCCATGTGCAGTAATGATGACTATAGTTCATCTTCCTCATCGACATCCATTTTATTGTGATCCTGTTTTCGAGATCCTATTTCAGGCCACAACAACCCCAAAAACCAGCCTGCAAACTCCTGATGTCTCACACAGTTTGTGTTTGCAGCAGAAATCGATCTGCTCCGTGCAAAGCGTCTCAACGCCATCAAAAATAGACAAGACGTGTATTTTTGTTTCCTCTTGAGTCGCGCTGCGCCGCATCTGATGGAAGGATAAGAGTTGTGGTCAGCTCAGGTTGCCGCCTGCTGGAGATCTGCACACTGCTGCGTTCACTTTTCTAGTTTCCAGACACTCTGATGGGATTTTAAATATGTGGACGCATCACACGTGTTGATCAGAGGTGTCTTATCTTCTGTCTGTGAAATACAACTGAAGACAATCCTGCAGCCTTCGAGTACTGTAAGGATATGTCCAATATTTGACCCTCATGGTAACTGTGTGTGTGTGTGTGTGTGTGTGTGTGTGTGTGTGTCTGCAGGTTTACCCAGAACCTGTCTGTCTTCAGGAGGGAGGTGAACGACAGCATGAAGAACTCCACATACGGCGTCAACAGCAACGACATGATGAGCTGACATTCCACACAGACGAGTCTTACCACCCAGCTGCAGACAGAGCTCACCGCCCCTCCCCCGCTCCTCCACAGCCTCCCCGCCTCCCCCCTCTCTGCATCAGCCTCCCCCCTCCCTCCCTCCCTGGGCCCGGATGCCTGGGGATCGTCTCCTCACCCCGACACCACGTACGGGACCCCCCCTCCTCCTCCCACTCCTTTTTGATATAAGCATATATAAATATATACAGATCTATTTTAAAGCGATGGTCTAACTCGTCTCCTGACGGCGGAGGGGTGAGGAGGTCAGAGGGAGGAAGGAGAGGGCGCGACAGGAGGTGAGGAGGGGGCGAGGAAGGGGACAAACGCCGGTAAACGTAGTAATCCGCTTCTGCCTGCCTTGTATAGAAAAACACACAACAAACCAAGTGTACATTTTTTTTCGTAACATTTTGAACAATGTTTATAATGATCGAATTTAAAACACAAAGATGAGTTGAGGAAAAACACAAAAAAACAAAACAAAAACCGTGTGATTGAGCTTTTTACAGTGTAGTGAGTTAGTGCAACTGTCTGTCTGCATGGGGAGCTGGCGAGGAGGTGACGGGGGAGCACTCAGGCTGCAGAGCTGTCAGCATGAAGAAGAAGAGGTACACACTAACAGACAGGGAGAGTCAGAGCATCCACGTTGTACATTTTACTCAAGTCTCTGGTTGAAGTGATGTAAATAGCCACGTCCCTCGCGGCAGCAGGCTCGACGGGCGCTAAAGGGACAATCCTGCTAGTTTTCAGCCTCGCGTTGTGTCTCCGCCGACCCGACGTCGTGGTCATCTGTGATACAATCGTGTGTGTGTGTGTGTGTGTGTGTGTGTGTGTGTGTGTTCGTTCAGAGAAATCATTTCAAACTGGAGCCAAAATAATTGATTCAAACATATTTATTCAACTTGTTTCACACATGCAGTCGAACTCAACACATCTGTAATCAGACGCCAGATCACGGTCCTGAAATTCCTGGAAAATTCTGAAACTAGAGAGGCTGTTTTTCAGGCCTGGAATTAACTGAAGGTTTTGAATATCAGTTGCTTTGATAGGTGTTTAAAATCTGCTCAGAAAAAAAAAAAAAAAAGTCCAACAAAATATGTTCCTTATAATACTAGCTGAGGTTTAGTGAAGAACTCGTGTGTGCCGGTCGGGTCTGTCGGCACATGCAGCTAGTCGGCGTTGTGAATATCAAAGTGTAGCAGTTTGCTGCTCGTTTAGTAATTTAAGGTGGTATTGCTATAGAGGCCGACCTGTTCTAAACTACCGAAAGGAAATGGAAAAAAATATCACAAAGAAATTTTGAAAATTCATTGGTGAAAATGTTTGGGAACTCTGGTCAGTGCAGTTTTGATCATTTATAATTTGGGTCACTTTTCAACAAGAAACTCAAACCATGAAACTTGTTTTTGACACACACCCAAAACTTTATAACTTATTCAGAAAAATTCAAGAAACGAAGCAAAGTTTAGATGAAAATCTGAAAACATGAACAATTTTGTAATTTCTCACTTTGGCCACAAGAAAAAGAATTGACACGTCTCTGGTTCTCAAATGTGTAAATCAACTTATTTTCTTGTTCACTTATGGTAAACTGGATATTTTTGGGTTTTGGACTGTTGGTTAGAAAAACAAACAAATTTGTTTTGACAGTTTAAAACGACTGAAATGATCAAGATATGAAGCAAAGATGAAACACAAACCCTGCCTCACTGTCCTGTTTATATATATATTTGTCCACCGACCAGATACATTTAAATTATGTTGAAATCATTTGAAGGTTTATTATTTTTCTATACATGCGATGTTACTCCGCCGACACGTCTAATTCATCGTTAATTGTTCAGTTAATGACATTTTGATTATTGTTTTGGTCACTTTTCAAAGAAAAAAGCAGGAAGTGAAACAGATTTATTCAACTGTGTTCATATAAAGTCAGGCACAGATCAGTTACTGAAGTTTTGATAATTTATTGTTTTGCCCATTTTCTAAGAAAAAACAGATTAAAACAGATTTTTCAACTTTCAAGTTTTCAGCTTTTATAACATGCAGACAAACTCCCCTCGACATCTCTTATTCCTCTTTAATCAGTTAATGTCATTTAGATCATTTATCAATTTGGTTGCTTAAAAAACAAAAAGATTAAAACAGATTTATTCAACTATTTTCTCACATACAGTTGAACTCCTTAAACACATCTAATTCCTCTTTAATCGATCAGTCGTGATAATTTATGGTTTTGATCACACTGCAGATCCAGCTTCGTAGAATGTTTCTGTTGTCTTGCTCCTCAGTGACAGGAAGCTGAATGTCTTTTGGGTTTTTGAGTTTTTTAAATATTTGGGACATTTAATACACTCAACAGTCTGAAACTTCTAAAATGATCCAGAAACTCTCAAGAAATGAAGCAAACATTAAAGAAAATCTGAAAAAGTTAACAATTTTGTGAAATATCACTTGGGTCACTTTTCAAGCAAAAGTATCAACGAGTCTGATTCCAGTTTCTGAAATGTGAAAATCCGCTCATTTTCTTCGCTGACGGTAAACTGAATATTTTCTGACTGTTGGTGGGAAAAACAAACAATATTTTCAGACATTTTAAATCTCAAACGGTCTGAAACTTTTAATTGTTCAGAAACTTTGAACCAGTGAAGCTAAAATCGGAGGATAAACTGTTTAAACTTTTGTCCACGTGACAACAATTTAAAGATTAATGCATGATAATGTTAATAATTGTTCACTTCAGCTTGAATCATTTCAAACGTTTGACTGAAAATAGTTTCCTGTAGTAGTTGCAGCAAACAATTAGTTTTATTGTCGATTGATCTGATTATTTTCTTGATTTATCGATCAGTTGTTTGCTTTATAAAATATCAGAAAATGGTAAATATGTCCTGTTTTCCAAAAACCCAAAATGACGTCCTCACATCTAGTTTTGTCCACAACCTAAAGACATGCAGTTATTATCACAGAAGAAAGAAACCAGAAAATATTCCATTTTTAAGAAAGTGGAATCAATTTTTTTTTTTTTTTTTAACTTTTTTATTTTACATCACATCAGTTGAGGATTAATTTCACAGTTGAAGAATATTCGATGTATTGTTGCAGCTCAAACAGTAAAACTGCAGCTGAACATTTTTCATCTGCAGTGATAACAAACTTATTTTTATTAATCATATTTTCATTGAGTTATCTACAGATTTTTTTATTGACCTTTCTGCATACATGAACCAGTCAGTACAGCAGCACTGAGCCTGATCAAGTGTCTGTGGCAGGAAATAAAGACAAAACAGAAAGCTGAAGATGGGAAAAGAACCACCGTCCATATAATCTGCAGATCTTCTTGATTTAATAATTTAGTCCATAAAATGTTGAGAAATTGTAAAAAAGAAAAAAAACAGAACACATCCACAAACACCGTCACAGTTTCCCAGTTTTGTCCAACCAGCAGTCCATATTTATTTAAAAAGCTTCACTTTACATTTTAGCTTCATAAAATTGCGGTTGTCAAAATAATTGAATCATTTTCTGTTGATCGATTAATCGACTGATCGTTTCAGCTCTACTTCAGATCTTTGTCCAAAATCCAAACATATTTTATTTTACAGTAGAAAAGCTGAGAAAATATTCATATTTAAGAAGCTCTTTTTACACGTTAGCATAAACGATTAAGCGTTTTCAAAATAGTTTCCAAATTATTTTCTATCACTCAGTTAATCACGTGATGATTGGCTCTACTTCTAATGTTTTATTTCGTCCAAACCTAAATATATTTAATGACAATAATGGAAGAAATTCAGAAAATTTGCGAAACATTTGCGAAGCTTGAATTTAAATTTTAGCTTTACAGAAAATGCTTCAATGATGCAATTGCCAAAATATTTTGAAAATAAATTGTTGTCAATCGATTGTTTGAGCTCTACTTCAGATGTCCAAATCCCAAATATATTTACATAACATAAAACAATTTTAAAAAGTTACAATATTCATAAGAGAAGTTTTGAGCCACATAATTTTTTTTACGTTTTAGCTTAAACAATTATGCAACAGTCAATAGTATCCAAATTATTTTTCTGTCGATTTATCTCAATAATTTCAGCTCCACTTCAGATGTATTTATTTAGTCCAAAACTTAATATTTTCAGTTCACTGACAGAAGAGACAAAAACAACAAATCATTACATCAGAAAAACTGAATATTTATTGACTGAAAGAAAATAACCCAACCGCAGAAAAATGTTAGCATCGTAGGTTTCTGCAGACCACAGCAACGTTACATTTGTTCATTAATATGTAGTGGCTACGTTAAAACGTTCAACAACGCTGTGGTTACCGTAAGTTTAGGTACACTTGGTTATGGTTCAGTAAAGATCACCTTTTGGGGGCACAGTCCCCGCTGGAAAAGTAAGAATGAGTAAAACAATATTGTAAAAACAATAAACAACCGTTTATGGCATTTAGTTGTTTCGGAAAGTGCTTTGAAGCTTGGCGTGCATCTTGCCGAGGTTTCACGCCATCCACTGTCCCTGTCAGAGTCAGCTCAGGTACTGCGTCACTTTAGAAACGTTAATATGAAACCTGTGAAACGTAAAACATATTTGTGGTTTGCAGAAACAAACAGGGCGGACATTTTGTTTTGGCTACTGGGCTGAAAAAAAATAAACAATAAAAACAACTGCTGATTATTTTTAGCTGCAGCTCTAGTTTGAAGTGATTTATATGAAGTTGATTGTAAATCTTCCGGAGACGCGAGCTGCTCGACTTGATATCCACAGAGTTTTGTTTGTGACTTTTAACAGCTGAGGAGGTGACGTTAGCATGAACGGACACAACGCTGAGGTTGAAAAAACATCAGCATTTCCCTTTATGACATCCCGTCCGGTCTGGCCCTGCTCCGCCTTTCTCCTCAAAGCGTCACACGAGATGAGGCGGTGGCGGTGGCGGCAGCCCGTCGGTCTCGTGCACACACACCTGCTTGTTTGATCGACGTGTAAGCAACATGGTCACAGCTACATGTTCCCCTCTGGTAGGCCGGGTGCAGTTTCCACCATTTTGTTTACACTCTGGATTCCTTGGACCAGGCTTTGGGAC